CAAGACAGCCGGGAGCAGGAGAGGAGGATGTTAATAAACTGGTATCAGCGGCAAATCCACCAAAACTATGATAACGTTGCTCAACACCAAAATGCGATCTCCCCCTTCCCATAATCCCAAATTCGACCCCCTCTTTCGAATAGTGCGAACGGACGATGACCCTAATACCGCCTGACGCACCTAGGAACCTATCTACAAATCTGTTAAACTAAAAAACGATCGCACCTTGTACTGACTGCTGTGCAAATGTAGGCGACATGTAGACAGTCTTCGTCACTAATGTTCCTCACACCAATTTCTCTGAGTATTTCACGCGTTCTCGGGAACCCTTTTCCCTTACCGCCCTCTTCCAGCTCACTGAAACAAGTGAAAGCAATAAATCTGAATAAAACAACGTGAAGAAAAGCAAAAAAAATCACGCAAGGCAATAGCGGCAGTCCAATGCAGGGCAGACGGTACCAGAGCGAGTCCAACTTCTTCGCTACTATAGTGGTAGCTAGGTAAGGTATGGATCGAAGTGTAGCTACCTTGCAGGGACCACCACACGCGGATATATGCTGCGCTGCCCCAAGGCTCCGGCCGATCTTCACCGGGCACGCGAAGAGGCCGACGCAAGGCGAAGGGGAACGGCCGCCGTGACCCTAACTCTGCTTCCTGTCCGGGTGCAGGCAGTCACTTGTCCTGTGAGGCCACATCGACCGTAAGGAACCCAAAGTAGCGGTCACGGGCAACTATGGGAGTCTAATACGTGCAGCCAGCTGCGTGGTCCACCCTTGAGCTACGTGACTCAGAGATATCGAAAGTGATGATGATAAAATACGTATTCGTCAACGTGGGTTTTACCTATTTCAGTTCCTATGCGCGTTGGTTGCATCATGGTTGGGCGGGACTCAATATCCTAGGTTCTGGTCCGGAAACTACGAGAGCTGAGACATGTTAGAAGCCCCATGGCCTCCGAGGAGTTGGTCCGCTGCTTCTTGAAGCGCATGAGACTTGTGTGGGCTCGATGGATAGACGTCAGACTGGAAGGTTCGCGCCATCAGGAGCTCGTAAATAGAGCCCACCGGTCGCAGTGGGAGGGTGCCCGTTTGTTATATGCACATTCCTGAAGCAAGTCTGAATTGTAGCACTGTTGTCGTCTTTGGACCCATATTCT